AAAGACTGCATAGGCCAAATCCTAACACAGAGAAGGAAGGGGAACATCACACATTGGGGCCTATTGTGGGGGGGCAGAGGGATAGCATTAGGAGGTATACCTAACGTAAATGACGAGTTAAAGGGTGCAGCACACCAAGATAGCACATGTATACATATGTAACAAACCTGCACATTGTGCACATGTACCCTAGAACTTGAAGTATAATAATTTGAAAAAAACCCTTAAAAATCCTGTTATAAATAGGAAAATGATAAAACCACAATCATAGCACAGACTTTAAACATGCTATTTCAAAAACGGTCATTTGAAGAAGAAAAGTAAACAAAGATATGGAGAATTTGAGTAAAATCATTAATAACTTAGATGGAATGGATATTTTTATACCATCTTATGCCTAACAAATAGAATTTTCATAATTTTTATATATGCCCCAGTCATAAAATATGTCCATAAAAATATATTCTAAATATGTTCTTGTATTCTTTCTTCCATCCCCTCTTCCCTCCTTCCTGAATAATTCGGTCTAAATGGAAAGTAGGTGTCTGCATGGGATAGGGATGGCCTAAAGAAATACCATTCTTAATTTCTTTTGTTAAAATTAACATCATTTTGCACATACAGAGAAATTGCAAGAATAGGTCAAAGAGGTTTCTTTGGTGATAAAAAGAAAGTGATGCTTCACTGCCCCTAAGCATGAGTGTGTGTTGCCTACATCAAGGGCTTTCCCTTCTATAACCCCAATAGAATTTAAAATCAGGCTTTATTCTTGCAAACAATGTTGCAAAGAATACCCGTGAACTTATATCTTGGAGCATATGTATAGGTGCATGTGTTGAATACATTTCTAGAAGTGAAACGGCTCAATCAAAACACATGCACATTTCAAAATATGGTAAATTAATTCAAGATACTGTTAAATTTCAGATTCTGTTAATTACCATCTAAAGAAGTTGCCTCAATTTAGATCCCTGCCAACTGTGTATTAAAATGTCAATTTCCTTATAATTTTACTAATTTATTGAAGTTTTTAAACTTAAATATTTTACATTTGTCATCGCAAATAGCAAGTATTCACTGCCATATC